ATAATAGTAATAATCTTTTATAACCAGTTTTAAATTTTATATATGTAATTTAATAAGAAATTATATATATTAAATTATATATGATAGTTAATACAATATATTACTTTCATAGAGATCCACATAAAGTTATACACATTTAATCGTGTTTTGAAAAAAAATTAATTTACATGAAATTCGGTGGCAATTATTAACTGTAGTTTATTTTTTATTTTATTTTTGTTATAATTTTAGTTATAACTTATAAGTAACAACACAGAATTTAAACTAATTTACACAAATATTTTTTTAATAATGATAAATGAAAATTAAGAATAATTTTTTATAAAACAAATTAAAATATAATATTAAATAAATTAAAGTAAAACAAAACAACATATAAAATGAAAATTATATATAATATCATATAAGAGCTATATTTATAAAACAAACATAAGATTAATAAAAGTCACGATATGTTAAAAACATTAATTTTTTGTCTTAATATCATATGTTTGTTCTTTTAATATTTATTAATACATTAATAACAACAACAAAAAATGTAATATTAATAACAATAATAAAAACAAACGGAAAATAAGACGATAATTAATTTTGATTTTTCAAATGATAACATTAATTACAGGAAACATAAATATATACTTTTAGAGTACAGTATATACAGTATTGTACTATACTATGATAGGTTGCTTTGGATTGTTTTGTTTGTTTACTTTCATTTTACTTATGATCATTCATTTCATATACAGTAAATTATTACAATATATACAAATTAATAACCGATTATAGTTATGATATTTATTTGTTGCCATTTTTCTATGTTGAAAAATTTCAATTATTATTAGTATTAGTCTATATTATAGACTATRCAATCTTTCTTTCTTTCCTCTCTCTCTCTCTCTCTCTTTCTTTTTTTTCTCTCTCTCTTTGAAATTTTGATTTTTGTGTGAAAAAAAATTTAGTAATAATATTGATATCAAAGGAATTGCATTGAATTCAGTAAGAATTGATGAGTTGATGAAAGTGGAGAATAAGTATGTTTTAAAAAGAGACCATTCTTTGTATGAAAAAATTTTGAGTGCTATATATCCACTATCATTCATACGATAATATTGGTGAGTAAAAAGTTATGACAAAAATAACATCAAATATAAGAGTCAGTAAGTGAAAGACATCTACAAAAAAGTTAGCAAAACACACACACACATACATACACACACACATACACACACACACACATACATACATATACACACAATTTTATCTTTTAAAATACCATTTTGTTAACAACACATCACATCTATTTTTAATTTACAATATTATCAAAAAAAGTTAGAAAATATAATTGCTTATTTTTAAAAAATATATAAAAATACATTTATTTTAAGTAAACTTTATATCAGATAAGTTAACATATTTAAAGATAATAGTTATACTACTACTGTGACACTACTTTGAGTTTTAAACAGTTTTTTAGTAAATATATTTTATAATATTATGGCTAAAATGACCAAAATATTAAACATTTCGGTGAATCTAAAACTACTTTGAATTTACTGAGTTAAGGGTTTATTTTAATTTTATAATAATCTCAAGTACTGCACACAGTGTGTATTTACACTGTCTACAGTATATAACTTATATATATATATATATATAGATTATTAACTACAAATTAATTAAAAACTAATAAATTTATATATTTTATAAAAAATTATGTAAAATGTTTGTCTTACGGTAATATAAAAATTACAATTATTTAATTATAGTTCAACCACTTAATTATCTATTTAAGTATTTTTTAATTCTGTTAAAATTACATCATTGATTTATTAGAGATAATCGATTTGATTAATTATATTGTGATAATTAGTTAAAAAAATTACYTAAATAAATATATTTTTAATATATAATAATTTCATTCTAGTACTAAATATAATTGCACATTATACTATTGCATAATACATTATAATTGCAATAAACATAAATCAATAAAATTATTAAAACTGTTTAATATAATTAATTTGTTTACAATAATTAAATTTTAGTCTAAGATATCTAAGTTTAATTGTAAACTAACTAAGTTAGTACTTATACAGCATTTCATGTTATATAATAATAATAATATATAAATAGTTCAATGAATAATTTTATATTTCTTCTAAATATTTAGTAAACATTATAAATTATAAATTATAATGTATAAATAAATTAAATATATTTATGAATTCAAATTAGTTAATAAAAATATTATATTTTTTTTAAATATCGTAATAATATTTGTTTTATTATTAATAGATTTGTGTGATTTGAAATGAGAAAACCATTTTTGAAAAATAAAAATATTTTTATTTTCCGTATTAAATGTTAATATTTTATTTTTTAAAATCCTTATTTTTTACTAACTGAATGAGTGAGTGGGTGAGTGTTTATTGAGAAATAGTACTGTTTGTGAGTGAGAGGGTTGGGTTGAATTGAAAATTGAAAGAAGAATTGAAAATCCGGTTAAAATGCAATTAATTATAAATACATACAAAAACATGAGTCAAACGAAATAACAAAATATATATAATTTTGAAAAACAAAATTTAGTCATTTAAACAAAAACAAAAAAATCAATAGTTTGAAGAATGAAAAGGTTTGGCTAAATGAGAGAAAAATAGTGTAAAAGTATAGCATTTGTATACTAAAAGTAGTGCCACTAATGGTATTGTTATAATAAACTTATTGGTTCGTGACTTTGGTATTAGCCATCAATATGTGATTTATGTGCGCTTCTCGTGAACACCAATAGCACCGGCAATAAGGCATATATATATATAAGGAACTGCTTTTTTTTATTCAATTGTTATGAGTTGAATATATCACATATATTAATAAACACAAAAATATTATACACATGCATTTATATATAATAGCGCCGGTACTTATATAGAATTATAAGTAGAGGTATAATATTATACAATTGTATAGAATATCAAACATTAAGCAAATGTATGAAATATCATATATGCAGATAATATAGCAATATATTGCAAAATAGTCATAAAAAAGTAGGAATTAATCCGATGAAGAAAATGTATGGTAATGTTAGGCAACGACAACCCGAAAGAAGCTTTCAAAGCTATACTAACAGATATATTGTAGGCATTCAATGGAATAGAAGAAATGGTAGGAATGGTAGCATAAAAATGACAGTCAAAGCAATGGCAATGAAGTGAATGAAGCCTTTTCTTTGCAGTCATTGTTCAGTGCATTGATTTTTTCACTTGTTTTTCAAAGAGGAAGTCCATAGCACTACCAATTCATGAATTCAATATATATATTATATATGAACCAACATTTCGAGCCGTATATGCCGTGCCTGCATGTAGTGTATAGTTGCCAATCGTGTAGTGATGCTCTCACATACACATTATAGTATATATTTAGATGACCTTGCTACATTGCTATATTGTTATATCAATAAGTTAGTCAACAAATTTGTATTATGTGGATGCTATGCACACACACATACTTATAATGGTGCAAGGTCTGTAGGTCTGTCCAATGGTGGGGTGGGATCCCTCTATAATTGTTAGCTAATATATTTTAGGCGATTCCACTGATATTCTGTTGGATTTTCCTTTTTTATTTTTTCAATGTAAGCAAACTAGCCATATGGTGGGCACCGGTATGTAGCCATAGAAAAATATATTGAATTGTTTTATGGGTAAATAGGATAAAGTAATATAACAATATGGCAAGTCATGTATATTAGGAGTATATATATATACTATGTGTATACAGTTTAAAGTATATATAGTATATAAGATAAAATTTTTGGTAAATATTCTGGGAGTATGCCATTGGTAAGACCTACACATACACCATGGCATGGCTACCCTTGTATGGTTGGGTGCTGGGTATGTGTTGTGAGGTTGAGGTCCTTGGGCGAGCCTGGCTATGAATGTGTGCCAAGTATATCCATATATACATACAATACATATACACATGACTTGCACAACAACACAACATAACCGGCTTTCTTAAGGACACCACTAATGCTGAGCCGGCCTTTTGGCAGCACTTTTGCTGAGCGCTCCGTATGACAGCATCAACACTACTACTACTACTACTACTACTCCTACTGATTGCCACTAACTGTGATTGCTTTGGCATTGAGTTTTATGACCACTTGTAATGATATTTATAAAAATATGATTTGCTATAATACTACACATATTATGCATACTATTATATACCATATTATATCTCATTTATATAGTCATGTATTTTGGTTGTCGTATAGATAATCGTGTAAAACATTAAGGCATTGATAAAAGCATATAATAGGCAATCATTGTATGACTTGAATATGTGGCCTAAACTGCGCCCATAACTGGTCTGTAAGTTTAGCACCGAATTAGAGCCAAATATATTGTTAGCCATATCTGTGTGTGTAATAGCTTTCCATAGTTTTTAAACCTAATAACAGCTCAAAGAAACTCATATTTAATTGAACTCAAACCACAATAGAGAGAGAGAGAGAAAGCATTAATAGGGATATAGTGTTGTTATGTATAGGCATTGAAAGCCGGGAGAGCCGGTATCACTGGTATCAGTAGTATGAGTGGCATACAAGAGGGAATGGTAGCAATTGTGGTAAGGGATGTAAACACATATGTCAAGACAAAGCACTGCTATAAGGAAGCAGCTATTGGTTTGCCTCTCAGCTGACTCTATAGCCTAACACACATTCATATGAATTGAATGGACATCTGGAGGTAAGGCATACACATATACCAAGTAGTTGTAAACAAGTCTAACCATCAAATACGACATACTTGTCCTATATATACACATATATAATAGTAAAACATTATTGACATCCCATTAGTGTTAAGCCATCACATGATTATTAAAACCTACCCTTAGTTTGTAGTTATGGTTTAGTCGACACTTACACACATATATTCAGCTGAGAGACCGCTCCTAATGTTGTATTGCTTTATACTGTTATATACAGTGTTTACAAGTGTTGTTGTTATCCTATGTTTTGGTTGACTATAAATATACAGATTTTCAATATAATGTCACATAAATTATAGACAATTTATTTGATTAAATCATTTACCTATTCAATTGATTTTATATAAATTTATGTCAACTACTAGTGCTTTAAGTGTCTAATCAAATGGTTTGACCAATAGTACAGTCAAGTGATTAAAACAACTGATTATTTTTGAAACTAAAGTGTATTATATGTTATATAACATCACAGCTATAGCTGTACACAGAGTATACATATAGTTGTAAACTATATAAAGGATATGACATTTCACTGATAAGACAGTAGTTGTGTTGTCAATATTGAAACAGTGGATCAGATAACCAATTGATGAGTTGATGACTATAATAGTGACCATTTGGAGATAGTAATAGTCTTATGTGTTTGTGTGGGTAGTGTTGGCCAACCAATAGCGCCGACGGTAACAATGATTGGGTCAACGATAGCGTCGTCGACTCCGACGATATTCTGGTCTCTATTAGTCTATAGTTGACAACAAATGTCATTGTTTTCTGTCATATACTGAATGTCCTCTTTGTATGCCTTATATCTGTCCCTATGTTGACCAGTGGTCGCAAACGAAGGCCGAGTACTTCAGAGGACGATGTGATGGACGACTGTATGGCAGCGATGGTTCTGATGAGCCTATCGTGTAGTCCTAAATCACAACGACTTCCTGAATGTATGACTATTTGATTAATATATGTATTTTAAATATATATTTATTTATTTGTATTGTATGTATATATGAATATATAGTAATAATCTACAAGTGCACTTGGCCCGGGTGTCTATACCAGAGCGAACACTGCCAACAAATCGAAAAACATGTCCGCACACAACATCTCGGGTCAGTACCCAAATTGGTGACCACTTTTTCATTTAAAAAATCTGTCCTATTGTTTGGTCCCATAACTATTATAACATAATACATACCACTAATTCACTCTCTCATAACACCCAAAACCTATATGAATGCCGGCCTCAACCTAAAAGCCGGTTAAAAATGTGTGACAACAATAACATAGCAAACATAACATACAGGCGCTCCACATCCTATACTTTCACTCTATTCCTAATGGGAACACCATTTGTGTTTTAAAAAATATATTCATTATATATATATATTTAGTTATTTCCGATTTAAATCATTTTAACAAAATATTTATTATTAGTATTTCATGTTTTTTTTAATATAAACACCAATTCAATTATTTATTTGCGGTTAAAAATGCGATAACTTTTTTATTGATTTTTTGTGTGTATGAATCCAATACTATATACACTTAGTATCAGTGCCTGACTGCCAGTGCAGGAAAACCCAAATTTTATTTCACTTGCATAGTAAACAAGTGTTCAGTTATATATATATATATATATAAAGACTGTATATAACGTATATATAATATACTACATTATAATATGTAATGAAAATATGTTTTGATAAAACATTTTTATATAATTTTTATCATAAATTAATCAAAATATTTATAAATACTAATTTATGTACACATGGATATATATGGTGTACCCACTGCTATATATGGTGAATATGATCGACAAAAAAATATTTATTTTGATTTGAGATTATCTTTCATGAATTTAAAGTATGGTTTTTGGTATTTGAAACAAACATTTCGGGGTTTTTACTGTTTAAATAAATTTGTTGTTATTTTTGGAGTATTTTCCTCATTGATGATAACCACTGTATTACTATTTTTGGGTAAATTCTCGACCCTTTTTAAAAATAATATAATACCCTATTATAGCTATATTTATTAATAATAGTCTATTATATATAATATGTGACTTCATTTCATAATAAATTTATTACATTAATTTAATTTTGTTGGTAAATTATCTATTTAAGTGTATTATTGTTTTTATTTTATTTATTTACGAAAAAATAGGTTTAAATATAGCGTTTTTAAATATAAATGATTTATTGTTTTAAATTTGAGGCAATAATTATTAATTATAATAAATGTAAAAATTTAGAATAACATATATTTTAATTAAAACAATAGTTTTATCATTATTGGTCTATTTAGATAAACTGGTAAACAAACAACTATTTCTAATCATTAGACTATATATCCTTTTTTGTTGAGCTATATCTTAGCAATTTATCAATAGATAAAAGTAAGACAGTCTTTAAGATTACAGGTCAACAATGGCAGTACCAAAATGTGTAGTACAGTATAATATATAAATATCCATGGTAATGGTAATAGTTATATATATATATATATATAATATGTATACAATATATTTAATATATAGTGTATTAGTATCGGAGAATTACCGGAATTGAGGTATATTTCATGACTATATTGGCGAACCATTTCCTATGATAGTTGATATATACGGCTAATTGGCCGCAAACAGCATTAATGCCGGTAGAGGTGAGGCCATAACTAAGTGCTGTAATGTATGCCCTCAGGTCATACATTGTAGTGATCTGGCAATCAAATGGTTCGACATTTTGGATACAAAGCTTTATAGATACTGGTTCTCAATGCCTTTTGATGGCAAAAATTACCATTGCTTAACCATTGCAAGGACAACGTCAACTGGGATATAGTCGATATTATAGTCGATATACTGTACAGTGTATACTCATATTTAGTGAATAAGTTAGTGCCATCTGACATACCACTGAATGCATTGAATTGAGCGCACAATACAGCTATGCCATCACCAGTTCCTCATACATACACTTTCGCCATTGATTTCATTTTAAATACCAGAATATGTATGGCTTGTTATGGGCACAGGCATACTATGGGGAAGCACTAAAAAATAATGAACAATATATTTGTAGTTATTTTTTAAACACAATCTATAAATATGATTATCACCAAAATGATTATTGTTAACTTAAATTTTAAATAAATATATAACAATTTAGCAAAATATATACATTTATAAAAATATTTAATGTTAGATTATATTTTGTTTTAAATTTAATTGATATTTATCTTAATTAAATTCAATTTTTGAAAAATAAATTAAAATATTAAATAAATTATAGTGAGAAAAAATAATTGAAAGTATTTTAGCGTATAATTTAAATGTATTTTTTAATGTTTATATCTCTAATATACACATTAACCTTATGTGAATAATTTTCTTTTAAAACATTTTTGTTTTAATAATTATTGTGAAATATTTATTTAAAATTTACTTCTATATTATAAGTGTTTATTATAATAATAAATAATAATGAATAAAAAAAATTATATGAATTGAAATCACGTTGAAAAATGGATAATTATGTCAATTAGATGTGTGAATATACAGTATAATAATAATAATAATATTGATAGTGTGAACTCCGTTATATACAATATAATGATCAATGATCAACATATAGAGATAGATAGATAAATATAAGTGTAGAGTCTAACATAATTTTTTACTATATTGTTTTGTTTAATCAAATAAATAACTTTTCCATTGAATAGTATATAACGTCATAGTGTGTGTGTGTGTGTGTGTGTGTGTGTATGTGTTGTCAAAAAACACTTGAAGGCCGCATGAATTACACGCTTAGGTAGTACTACTCACCCGCTATCAGCTAAATGTATAGCCCATAGGTTTTTGAAATTTTTTCTTTTTATTCTTCACTCGATTTTCTCATTGTTTTGTTGTTAATTAACTAAAAAATAATAAGTTTTAATAATAACATTTGAATCTAACGAGTAAAACAATTTGTAATTTTTATATGATTATTAAAAATATTAAATATATACAAAACTTAATTATTAAATTGTTTGAAGTTGTATAGAAAAAAGTAGAGAAACATTGAGTAGATTTGTTTTGAATAATAATAATATAGTATTTTTCAAAATATAGTAAACAACTGGTAATTGAATAGAAAAGCAGTGGAAATGAGAGTTACGTAAACTTCTCTCTCTCTCTCTCTCTCTGAGGACATGATTATCGGTTAAAATGCACATAAATATCACAAGACTTAGTCATAAGATATAATTTATACTATATATTAAGATCCTATTGTTTTCACAATATTTACTACAAGTGTTTTCCCATTGATTTGATAAATCGAGAGAAATAGCAATAGTAATGTCATTAAAAGATTTTTAACAGTCATAGACTTACTGACGCTTATAAACGACACTTAAAAGTCACGATAAAAAATATTATAAAAAAATAACTATAAAAATAAACATTAAAGATATTATTTATTTTATTTTTATTTTATTTATACATTTTAATAAAGAGAGAATAAATAAATTCTGATTCTATAAAATAAATGTTGGATTTATAATAAATTATTTTAATAAGTACTGTATATTTTTATAAATATAGTATTATAGATATCAATATTAGTTATATTATAGTGTATTTAGAGTATTGTGGACATTGAATATATGATATATAGATGAAAATGTTGTCATTTCATGAGACATCCCATTGATTACAATAATGTAATTGTCTTTCATTTCACTTGAATGCCGATTGTATTACTGAATCCCTCTTTGGCTTTATTTGCTTCATTTGTGACAATACACTACATTAATGTGGAACAACCTATAGGTTTAGGTGGTATAGGAAATGGGAATTATTGCTAATGTAATGAGTGATCAGTAATTAGAGACTTGAGATGAGATGAAAAACCAAAAATGAGTAATTGTTTGTTAAACGAGATATTTCACAAAATAATTATTGAATTACAATATGATTTAACTGAATGATCTAAAATGTATTATTTTTTTTGTTGAAACAGTCGAACTGATCTCAAGGATGGCGAGAGTAGTGATCACGAAGAAGAGTTTTATTATACAGAGATTGAAATGGATGACAATTCAATGCACAGTTCATCGTCCAATTCATCATTATCTCATTCACTGCCGCAGTCGCCCTCCGTGTCCACCGATACGAGTGCCACAAACGGCAGTCAAAGTCCTCAACCATCGCCACAAACGCACATTTTCTTTGGCCAGTCGTGTTCAGCGCCCACATTCAGTCACCTTCAGGATCATGAATATGAGAGGCGCCGACAAAACTCACACTTTGACTATAAACTCATTCAATTCAATAACGATGTCAACGACTTGAATGGTTTTAGCATAAATCTCAAGAAGAATGGATTCACAAAATTAAATAACGCTAACAATAATAATAATAATTTGAATAATAACGGCAATCACGGGACACGAAGCAAACACAAGTCATTGCTGTCCACTCCGATTAACATTCCGGGTGTGTCACCGCTGTCCGCATACCGATCCCATCAATATGCAACCAGTGCTCCGCCGGTTCCCATTCACTCGCCGCGTGTTAATCACAAATACATGCGACTACACAGCAATAATAATCGTGTCTCCGGTTCGGGAACTGATCTAACTATTGGCACAACAATACTCCAGTCGTCACCCAATAAAAACTCACCGTCAAAGAGAGGCAGAGGAGAGAGCAGAAAGTGTAGGAAAGTCTACGGTATGGACAACAGAGACTCGTGGTGTACACAATGCAAATGGAAAAAGGCCTGCACCCGGTTTACCGATTAAATAGCACCGGTATTTTCAATCAATTCAATACAAAGTACACTCACAATAGAGCTATAATTTTTATGTGTGAGTTAATATAGTTTTGTCATTCAATATAAAAGATACTACAATACAATCTGATCCGGATATAAAAGAATCGCCAAATTGTGTCTCCTTTTATTTTAGCATATATATAGAGTCCCACCCATTCAATACAATATACATAAAAATACCGGTACATAATTATGGTCTATTGCTGGACCATTACATCTATAGTGATATTTTTAAATTATATTCATCACATAATGCTATATGTGGTCAAAGGGACAGAAAAACGTTCAAAAGCTGACATATTTAGCGGCAAAATATGTTTCACACATTTCACCGAATGTACATTTCTTTCATTATTATTATATATTGTATATATCTATCTATTATATATCTATTATATGTTGTAACTGAAAATTGACATAAATTATAATTAATTTAGATTATGAAGTACTGAATGTTTTGTGTTGTTATATCAATGTTCAGTCTTATATGTTGTACGAACTCAATGAGCCAAACATTTCTCATAATTTTATAGATTTGTTTCTCATAACTACAGTATCTCTTTTCTGTCTCTCCTTTCATCTCTCTCTCTCTCTCTCTCTCTCTCTCTCTCTCTCTCTCTCTCTCTCTTTCATTTCACTCACTAACTCATTACTCAACAAATACTTCCTGTGTGTCGTTACTTTTTGGTCGATCCTATACTTCGGGCACAATATTTTTGATGACTTTCATTAATGAGCTTATCTAATACTGACATAAAATCTACATTATAATTGTGGCTAAAATTAGTGTATTTGCATTTTAAGATATTGTATAAATAAATTATTTTTTAAAATTAAAAATCATCATAATTGTGATGAATCTTTTATATCCGGGTCCGACAGTATTATTGTTACATATTGTATAAATTATATAATATTTGAGACAAACATACATTTTAAGTCGTGTTATATATAACTATACGAATATATATATATATATATATATATATATATATATATATATATATATATATATATATATATATATATATATATTAATCTATTTTACATTTTAAGTATCAAAACATATGAAAAACAGGTTCTCGTTTTTCTTAAAATTTTAATGTAATTTTAGAAATCATTTAATGATTATAAAGATTATCATTATTATCAAAATGATTGTAAATGTCTCCTATTTGTGTAAAAGATTATGAATACTAAAACTACAACAAATAGACTTATGTGGTGATCATCAGTATGTTATTAATGAATGAAAACCCAGTGCCGGCAAAACTACCATTTTTTTTAAAAAAATATCGATCTGTTAAAACATTTTAAAGATATTTTTAAAACAATATTACATTATATTACTTATATTAAGTTTTGTATTTCATTTTTATAATAACCCTATTATGAATAAGCATATTTAATATAATAATAATAATTATTATTATTATTATTGAAGTAAAAAATTTTATATTATAGAATTTAATATTTATTTGCCGGCAATATATAAATATTATAATTATTAAACACAAAAAAGTTTTAGAGAATTTTAGTTAGGAATTAATGCCAATGAATACAGAATTAATACAGAATTTAATATTTATGTAAATTTAATGCGAGTATTACATTATGAATGGCAACAAAAGCTAAATGAAAAACTCATTTAATATAAACACATGTTTAGGACGGTATTAATGTATTAATAATTGAATTGTAATAAAAACATATGGCCATTACTTTATAATTAAAAATATAAATTGTAAATGAATTGAGTAAAATCTCACAAAATATTATTTATGAATATATAAAATATGATATTTAAAGTTCATGTTGTAAATGCAAAATAATGTGAAAAATGTATAGTTTGTAAAATAGATATATACAAAATTACTGATAAAAAATTATTATATAAATAATAATGATAATATACGACAATTATTATTATTAACACATAAAMAATTAGAAATTATGTGTTTTGTTATTTAAATATATTTAAAAATATATTATTATATGATATAATTAAAGTTTTATTTTTGATCATTTAATTAAACATATGAAAAAAGTTATAAAATTAAAAATATTGTAATTATTGAATAAAGAAAAGCCCCTAAATTCGCACACATTATTATTGATGTTAATATTTGATGTATTGTTGTTGTCGTTATGTATTTTTAATTAATTAATTATTTCAAAACAAATGTTATTATTATTGTCATATGTATTACATTTTTCAAAACACGATCTTATTGTCTAAACAATTGTTAGAAAGAGATGAAAATAGAGTGAAGAATATTCTTTAATTGAAAAATATTTCAAAAACTGTAGGAAACAGTAGTTTCAGACTTTCATTAATATACTGTCAAAAACAAGCGTTTGGCTAAAGAATATTCTTTGAGTTATTTCAACAATTTCTTTGTTTTTCTCTCTTTTCTGTTATTTTCTATTTATATATTAATTTTAAAGTTATTATCAAAAATTTGTGAATCAAAACAACTTATTTTGATTTGTTTATTATTTTATTTTTATATTGTAACGATAAAATTTATTACATAATAATGTAATTTTGAAAGGAAAGTGTCATTAGATAAGTCATTTCAAAGTTTATCAATATATTTGTGTTTTATTTGATTGAAAACATAACTACTTTGTAGTTTATTTCCCTTTCATTTTGTTCCCATTTATTTGTATTTTCTTTAAATATGTTATGTTTAACGAAATAATATTTAATATTTTATTTGATGATAACATTTTTCTTAGCAATACTTAATTATTGACTTAAAGTACAATAAATTCATTAAACAAACAAAGACAATATATATAATACATTATTAATATTATATATTTAACGTATATAACAGATACTCTGTTATAAAAATATTAACATAACTGCCAAACAAATTATTCATTTATATAAATCGTCTTATTTTATATTTTAATATATAATTTTTGCTGTTAAATACGCATAATAAGATTTTATGCTACAATTTATTATTATTWTTATTAATTATTATTATTTTCATTAATTATTATTATTACAAACTGAATATAATTTTAATCATTTATTTTATTCAATTTTGTAAATTGTTGAATATTTGTATTTAAAAATTATTGTAAAAAGTTGTTTAAATTTTAAAATGTTATAATTATAATACTGTAATACATTTTTGAATATGAAATATTTGTTATTTGTATAATTATTATATTATTAATATATATGATATAATTAATTATTTCTATTATAATTATAGACACTTATTGTTTCTAATTGTAGATACTATGTAGATATTTTTAAATATACAAATTATGTTATTAATTATAATTTTTTTATTTGATCTAAAAATGTAAATGAAAAATTACACACATTTTGTTTTTGTAAACAAATATAAATACATTAAACATAAATATAATTGATCTCTTATATTGTATGATTAATATTTGTTTTTAATTCAGTCTAAAATATTTATTGGTATTTACATTAATATGATTTAATATAAATTTACAGTACACAGTTGCATTTATTATTATTATTTTACAAGTTAAAATAAATGAGATATTTACAAATAAAATATATAATTTTTATGTAACATTACATTACATTTATGAGTGAACTATTTTTTTTGTTATTTTATTTTTCTCATAAGTAATGCAAAAAATAGACTGAAATAACAAATTTTTCATAACTTGAAATGTCATTAACTCTTCTCATTTTTTTATATAGACATTCAATTTATTAATATTATTGAATATAAATATAACTACATTTATATCAATGTATTGATCAAACAGACAAAAATCACATCCATATTATTATTATTATAAATAGTAATCTTAATAATTTTGCATTACTTTTTGGGAAAAATATTATACATAATAAGTACTGTACACATAATGTATTATTGAATACTATGTATTTATTAATTTCTCAATATTATTAGAGACTAAAAGTTATAAAAACAAAAATATAAAAATTAGTTTTCCCAAAATATGTTTATCTAATAATGAAAAGTTATATTTGAATTAATAAATAGTGTATTTTCACAATTTCCCTATTATTATTATTATTATTATTATTATTATTATTATTATATACAATATATTTTTTCTTTTGTTTTTTAAAATCTACGTTTATTATAATTATTAAAATTACATTTTGTTTGTATTTTGTAAATTTAAAATTATTGTAATTATATTATTAATTTTTGTTTTTATTCATAATGTATAATATAATAAAGCATATATTTCTCGAAAACAAACAAATGAATTATACTTTATTTAAAAAATGAATCCATAGACTATAGACTATAGACTATAGTCAATGCACTTATATTTATCATTAATTTAGTTTTAAGAATTTATTTTTGGCTTAAAATGTTTTAAACAAATATTTATAAAATGAGATGAAAATGGTTTCACCAATATTTGTGGCCATTATTTTTGAAAAATATTTATTTATGCAGTCATATACTGTATAGTTTGTGTTTCTTGGCTTTATATTTAATATGTTGGTTATTATCATTTTTCAAATGCTAGTAAATTAGTGAAATACACATCAACTCAGCAAATATATTAATATATTAATCTCAAAAATTCTAACTCTTATTTCTATCACTAACTCAAACACACACACACACACACACACACACACACACACACACACACACACACACACACACACACACACACACACACACACACACATACTATATATATGTTTGAGTTAGTATATATGATATACACTTTATACTGTATATACATAAGTACAGTACAGTACATACAATACATACATACAATCACTGCCTTAAATCATCTCAATTCCTATAGAATCACGCAATTCATAAGTTTGATGTGTTTTTTATTATAAGTATATATACTGTAATATCAAATAATATATAATATAATTATATTGTAGTGTTTGACTAGTTTTTTATGTCACAATTTAATCACTATATTTGTTGTTTACTACTCCACTGCTAATCAGTCGTTTAACTTTTACTTTGTTTAAGATATTGTCTATCACTATAATAACACTTTTAACATTTGATTTATTACTCGCTTTTATAACAAATTGATTTCTTTATTAAGTCGACGACAACAACAACAAAACGATTACTTTATAATATAATAAATAATTTAATATTGCATTGGAAAGCATTGACATTAAATTACATTATTAGTGAATTTGATTATTTAATAATAACTGACATTAAATTTCAATTTTTAAATCACTTTATAAGCAATTATTTATTGTCTAAGACTTAGTAGTATTATTTTTTTCATTAAACTGTATTTTTATCCTTCAATTATATAAATCTAAAAAAACTAATTTTCCATTTCTTGTATCAAACAACTGAAAATCTCTCTCTCTCTCTCTCTCTCTCTCTTTCTCTCTCTCTCTCTCTCTCTCTCTCTCTCTCTCTCTGCCTCTTTCTCTCAAATACTTTATTTTCAACAAAAAAGTTTTTTATTTGAGATTTCAAATTGAAAAGTATTTTAAGTTTAATGGATTACAACATATAACGGGAGACATACATTACATTACAGTTATGTCAATCAAATGGCAAATTCACAACCAAAACATCGATTCTTATCTTTGATTCACAAGTTATGTCAAGCTTTGAGAGAAAGAGAGAGATTTGTTGATCTGTTTTTATAATAATAATAATACAAGAATTGAATGTTTTAAATGCGGGCTATTATTCAGTATAAATACTGTTCATTGTATTGAAGGATTGAAATTTAAATAAACTATAGTTTTGATTACTATATGACATATGCATTCATCAAAAGTTTTTCTACTTTTCTATGCTATTATATCATATTATATATATATTTGTATCACATTTTTTATTGTTTGCATAAAAGTTTGTTTTTCTGTTTTACAAAAAAATGTGTTATTATTGTATTTTATATTTGTTATTAAATAATAATGTATTAT